AAACCAGGAAGATAGAGCACATAACACCAGTTTTAAAGTCCCTACACTCGTTCAAAGAATAGATTTTAAAATACTGTTGTTAAATCACTGAACGGTTCAGCACCACAATACATTAAAGAGTTGTTGTTGTCGTATCAACCTTCCAGACCCCTCAGGTTCTGGTTCTGCTCTGCGTCCAGAACCAGAACCAAACGAGGAGAAGCAGCATTCAGTTTCTATGCACCACAGATTTGGAACAAACTTCCAGAAAACTGTAAAACAGCTGAAACACTTAGTGCCTTTATATCTCGACTAAAAACCCACCCGTTTCAAATATTGATTACTTATTTGAAACGTAATCAATTACAAATTTAGTGATGGCACTTGATTTATGTAATGTTTTGATTGTTGATTCTATGTTGCATGACTATCTGTTTTTGTGTTTGTTATGATGTAAAGCACTTTGAAATGCCTTGCTGCTGAAATGTGCTGTACAAATAAAATTTGATTGATTTGATTGATTGTTGTACAGGAAGTGAGGGGAGAACCACTCGGTCACATCGAGCATCAAAGACATGGCATGATACAAAAATGGTGACCAGATTCTTGAAAATGTGATTTCAGAACGTTTGAGAGAATTTCTATTTTTTTCCATTTTCATGAAAGAAAGGGCATCTTTTATCCAGTGAGTGTGTGTGTGTGTGTGTGGGGGGGGGGGGGATAGAGGATCCTTCCAATGCATCATCATCTAGCTAATAGTGTGAGAAACCCACAAGGTCATCAAAATGGGGTGGCAGTAATTGTTTTTTTCAGAGAACCCCAAATAAAGCAGTGAGTGGAAAAGGCTGTACTTTGGTCGAGGTGATTACAAAAAGTGAGTCAAAAACAGATTCCCAAAATTGAGATATAGAGGAACAGGTCCAAAGCATATGGCTGAGAGTGGCTGAGCCCAAACCAGACTTCACACAGCTTGAATCCACATCTGGAAAGATTCAAACTAGTTTACTTTTAGACCAGTGTACTCTATGGACTACTTTACACTGAATAATTCTGTGTAAATTAATAAATTAATAAAGAGTGGATGCATTTTAGAATAGTTTGCCACATTTCATCATCAATCTCTATGTTAAGATCATCAGACCAAGTAGTGCGAAGATGACTAGGCCTAGGAGGCAAATTGGACATTAAAAGGTGTATATTTTTGATATTCCATCCTTTGGAGTGGGACTAACCTCTAGCAATCCATCAGCCATTATAGAGGCAGGAATTATCAGAAAATGAAGGACATGGTGACGAATAAAGTGCCTAACTTGTAGACATCTAAAAAAGTGGCCAGCCAGCAGGTTAAAATTTGAAGATAAAAGCGTTTTCCTGTCTTTCACAGAAAAAAGCTTGTGGCTTTTTCACAGTCAAAAAAATCTCATCAATGATTGAAGGTGGAAATAGAGGATTGGAATTTAGTGGTGATAAAAGAGGATCCCAAAATATTGCATAATTTGAGCCCATATTCTAAGCCAATTCTTAACAATTACATGGTTAGTGTATGATATACGTAGATGTTGCTGGGGAAGGCATAAAAGAGAGTAAAGAAGCAGAGCTACATGAGGCCTCCTCTATTGGTAACCATTTGGGAGTCTCAGAGTGTGCACTGGGACACACATTGTGCAAATATTAACAGACCAATGACAGCATAACAAATTTGGGGTGGCAAACCCAAACATTTCTTTACTTTTCTCTTTCATATTCTAGGAAGTTTCTTGTTCCATAAAATGTGAAAAACTGAAGCATCAAGTATCTTAAAAAATGTTTTGGGATTAAATACTGGTATGTACTAAAAAAGGTATAGGAATTGACACACTGATTCTGCCTGCAAGAGAAAGTGGCAGCATGGACCAACAGTGTAAGTCGTAAGTCAGCTGGTCAAGTAAGGGAGTGAAATTTATTTTTAAAAGTTGCAAGTAATTCTTAGTCATATGGATTCCCAGATAATTAATGAGATCTTGAATGGTAAACTAGTAAGTGGGTAGGCTGTAGCTGCACAATTAATTGGAAATAATTCACTTTTATTAAAAATCATTTTATTTCCAGGTATTTGTCCAAAGTTCTCAAGCTGGTCTAATACCGGGGGCATGTATGACTCTGGGTCTGAAAGAAAAAGCAGCAGGTTGTTGGTATATAAGGGGTCTAGGTCACCTCTTGTAATGTAGTGCATAGGAGTGGATTTAAGGGCTGCAGCCAAAGGCTCTAGCAATAGCAAACAAAAGAGAGGAAACCCGTCTGGTCAGGGATGTTGATTTTTGTCATGATTACCTCCAGACGTTATGCCAACGTCTTTGCCAAACCTTGACATCTGTACAAAGCAATGAAATCAGGCGGTAGTTGTCGCAAACTCATGGATCCTTATCTTTCTTTAGTAGCTAGCCGCATTGTGAGTGGGAGAGCACCAAATTTATATGCCTCTTTAAGCATGTTAGCAGAAGGGGAAATAGTTTGTCTGAAAATACCTTATAAAATTCTGATGGAAAGCCATCAATGCAGGGCATTTTCCACTCTGCATTGATAGTACAGCATTCTTTACTTCAGCAAGTGTAAATAACTTATCTCAGTGGTTCTTAACCTTTTTTGAGGTACCGAACCCACCAGTTTCATATGCGCATTCACTGAACCCTTCTGTAGTGATAAATAAAATATGATTCCCCCCACCACTCAAATTTAAGACATAGGGGTGACCCAACTAGAGTCTAGTTGGGTTACCCCAAGGTCTTCTTTAAAGGTAGAGTCTCTGAGAACAGTTCTTCAAAATACAGTCAGTGTTTTCAGCAAATTTGAGCTGACTGTCCAGGAACGACCCAAGGTATTTAAAATTTGTCGCAGTTTCAACAGGTTGGCCATCGAGAGAAACTGGAACCACTTTAAGGTCTTGTTTAGATCATTTAATTAGCTCTACATTCTTAAGAGAATGAAACATTAATAATAAACAAGACTTTGCGGTATTCTGATTTAGTAATGCAATTATATTAGTTGTGTTACCACCCCCACGCCACTAGAGGCAGTAGCAGGCCCGAAAAGATGCAACTAAGGAGCAGATTTAGAAGTACACCGAAAGCTACAGAATTTGGTAAAAACTGTGAGCTTTGCTGAAGTAATTAAAGACACAAGTTCAAATCCATGCTGAGAGTGGAACTCCTTCAATCAGTGCTCCTCCGCAGCTCTGATTGACTAAGGAATGTAACGTGATCCTCTCCAGCAAGTGATGGCGAAGCAGGGCGTCATCACGAACCCCTGGGGTTCGATCGAACCCAGGTTAAGAACCACTGACTTATCTAATTCAGAGATTGTTTGTGGATCAATTGTAGAGATATTAAAATTATCATCTTTAATGTTTTTTCTGTGTTATTGTTATTGTGTTATTGTTTTCTTTTGTTGTGGTACACTGCACTAAATTAATAATGTATAATAATTTCAGCGCAGTTATGGATCTCTTGTAAAGGCAACATCTTTTAACCCCCAAAGGATGTGCACATCCACAAAACTTCTGGATATATGTACACCAAAATTTGTATTCAGACCCCTAAGGGGGGATTTTTCTGCCACAATTCAAGAGCACACATTTTCAGTCTGAAAATAGTATTACATGTCTTTTGTTCTCAAAACTTTAAATACTTTTGCTTACATTTTCATTTTGAAAGCAAGACTTTGTGTCTTTCTTCTCAAAACATGTAATGCTTGTACTCAAACCTTTGTCCTCATCCTGTTGCAGAACTCTCCTCGCTTTCGAAACATTTTCTGTTTGCTTTTGGAACAAAAATGCACCGTTGCCTGGCAACCTCTCAGCCAATAGAATGAAAGCGTTGTAATGAGTGCATTTGTTTTCTCCTAGCAGGTGTGTCTGTGTGACTTGATTGTAACAACCTGCACCACCCACTGGATGTAGAGAGAAACGGCGACCTCAGATTTCTGCATCGTGTTACTCTGTCTGTCTGTTGTTGGGTTTCCGTCCACCTTCTCTGTGGTGTGGTGATGTTGCAAGAAAAAGACTCTACATGTTACAGACTTTGGTTGAACAGCAAAGTTTTATTACAGTACTGCAGCCTAAGTCAACATGACCAAATTGTGAGAAAATCTTGGCCCAATTGTAGTGAAATTCCCCTGATCATTGGACAGCACCCTTTTTATAGGGTCACATGCCTGTCTTCCCGAAATGGGCATGTTCAGGTCACAGTGGCAGTATATCTGCTAATGCATCTGTAGTGCATATATGAAGCCTGCTTTTTGAACTCAGTGTCTCTTTTTCTCGGCTGGTCCTCTTACACATTACCAAAAAAGTCCTCGTGTGATCAGACAGCCATCGTACTCTGCATAAAAGTGCAAATTTGGGAGCTGTATTTTGGATTATTGTCTGGTTAAAATATCCTTCCCCAGTGTATTTCCAACTTTGTAAGTAATCCTTCAAAATTATCCTGAAGAATCTGCTGGTACTGAGTGCATCCATGTGACCCTCAACTTTAACAAGATTCCCAGTACCGGCATTGGCCACACAAACCCAAAGCATGATGGAACCTTCACCAAATTTTACAGTGGGCAACATGTGTTTTTCTTGGAATGATGACGTTATAAATGGCTTTTGGCCGCCGTACATAACGTCTGTTGTTGAGACCAAACATTAGATCACTTCATTTTATTCCAAAATGAAGCTGGCTTGTCCAAATGTGCTTTTCCATACCTCGAACAACTTGTGTGTGCAGAAAAGACTTCTGTCACATCAATCTCATGTTTGTGCAAAGTGTGCTCAATTGTTGAATGATGCACAGTGACATCATCTACAGTATGATGATGTAGGTTTTTGGAGGTTTTCGGTGGGTTGTCTTTGACTGTTCTCACCATCATTCTTCTCTGATAGTTTTCTTGGCCTTCCACATGTGGGCTTAACAAGAACTGCCCATGTGGTCCTCCATTTCCTTACTATGTTCATCACAGTGGAAACTGACAGCTAAAATCTCTGAGATAACTTATTTTATCCTTCCCCTAAATCATAACATTGAGCAATCTTTGTTTTCAGATTGCTGAAAACAAAGATTTCAGCAAAATCTGAAATCTTTTGCAGTGCAAAGAAGTTGATCTCTTCTTTACATCTCTGAAGAGTGGCAACATTGGGGCCTCAAACCCCCAAACATCTGGGGGTTTAATGACAACCCCCAGATGATGGCATCATCATCATCTGGGGGTGATCATCAGCCCTCAAACATCTGGGGGTTTGAGGCCCCAAATGTTGTTTGGGGCCTCAAACAACATTTGCAAGTTGTTTGAGGCCCCAATGTTGCCACTCTTCAGAGATGTAAAGAAGAGATCAACTTGCAATTAAGGCAATTAATCACCTTAAACAAGGTGATTATTTTCAAGTTGTTCTCTGGATTGACTTCTCTTTAAGCTCCAACCAATAGCATGCAAAGTAGCATTGCATCTAGGAGTTTACGCATCCTAAGCTGTGGACTACAAAAAAATTTGCAGTCAATGTTTCACAAATAATTTACGTTCCACAGAATACTCCACAAATGCTGAATCGCAAAACAGTTGGGAAGCCACTGTATTTTATAAGCATGATTTCTCTATGTGGATACTGAAGTCCACCCATCTATTATAGAAGTTGTAAGGGACGGTAGGGTCAGACGGTAAGTACTAGCATCTCTACAATAACACTGTGACTCTCTCACTATGGAACTTTCAAGTCTTTCACAGGATGGAAGGACAATATTATTCCTGCAGTGAGTTTTGGATCTTCTGATTTCCTTCCAGTTGGATGTGCCAAAATATTAAAATAATTGGAACTTGTAGGCTCCTTAGTCAGCCCTTTGATTGCAGCAGTAGTAGTAGTAGTTATGACTTGGCTCAGGTCTAAAGTCTGAACTCCTTAACCCTCCCACTCACCAAAGTAAATTCATCACCGTTATCCTCTTCTGTCAGAGTACAGTGCTTATAATTACTTTGAACTCCAGCCAAATATGTTGCATAGTAATACGTGTTCTTTTCTGTGTCCACAGGGAGATGGTGAATGCCTGGTTTGCTGAGCGTGCTCATACCATCCAGCCATCTGTCCTTAAAGAAAACTGTTCCCAGCAGCGAACCCACCAGTCCTCCTCAGATCTTTGCCCCTCTTCTAACTCCACCATCCTCTCTTCAAGCCTCACCCTCCTGGACAACCGCTGCCCCTCCCCTGCCACTGTACCGAGCCCAGCTCCTGGTACCCCAACTCGCAAAATCTCAGCTTCAGAGTTTGACCGCCCACTAAGACCCATTGTGGTCAAAGACTCTGAGGGATCCCTCACATTTCTGAGTGACTCGGAACGGGAACCCGTCCCTCTCTGTGGTTCGGTGATGGGAGAGGGTGGTGGTGATGATGGGAGTGGCAGGGAGGTTGATCGCTGCACCAGGCTGCTGGAGCTAGTAAAGGAAGTATCAAGTTATCTGGATGTGACAGCGCTCTGCCATAAGATCTTCCTACACATCAATGAGCTGATCACTGCAGACCGATACTCACTCTTTCTGGTAGGAACCGGAAAAGATAGATTAATGCAAGCTCATACTTATTTCACTCTAACACCTTATTTTTAAGTGGATCCCAAAACCAGAAACCACATTCAGAATGAATCCAAAAGTTTTAAATCCAATGATTTTATTGCCACAGTAGCACAGATTGTAATATTTTTCAATGAGATGTAACATTGTTAGCTTACTGTTTTTTAAATTTCTCACTGTGCAGTGCATGTTATCCACGAACGCTTAGCACAGTTTTCCCCAGAAAACTTGCTAAGGTGGTCGACCGTGTTTTTGTATAAAAAGATGTTAAGCTGACAGGAAATGTAAAATTTTACTGGGTATTTATGTTACTGGCAAACATTGTCGACAACAAACACAGCAAATCAAAAATGCTATAAATGCTGTCATTTTAACACAGACCACAGATATAGAAATTTAATATTTGTTTATTAAAAATATAAATGCTATTGGATTTGATTTAGTGGTTTCAGCAAAGATAAAATAAAAGATTTCAAATTGTTTATTTAAAATTTTAAGGAGCTGGCAAGTTTACTTTGTAAAAATTCACAGCTATAGTCTGATGCTGTGAGCTTAATCTTTAAGATTGAGTTCTGTTTGTTCACAAATACATTTCAGTAAATTACAATTATTACTGATTGCTTTTAAGGTTGGTCATTTAAACAAGGCCCCTTTTCCCAGAATTTAATAAAGGTGTGCGATCCACACCGAGGTAAACTTCAGAGATCAAACTGCGACAGCGTGCACTGGCGCCAGCAGTGTGATTGGTGCACGCTCCCCTCCTGGCTTCATGTCTGGAGGGGATTCTGTCCTGCCAGTGACATATGCAGCGCGGCAGTCTGGCTTATTTAAAAACAAAACAAATTATTATAAAAACAAAAACAAGCATTGCTTAGCCTGGGAGAGAGGTGGGGGGTGTTCTTATTCACTGGGGGAAATTCTGAATTTAGTGAATGTTTGCAGATAAAGTTCATCGAATGTCAAGATAAAACACCATGTCTGCAGACATTCAGCCAACAATGGCTGTATGATGGCTGGACATTTGCTGAATGGTCACACACAATGTCCACTGAACGTTTAATAGTACGGTACTTAATTTTGCCTTTCATTGAACATCGTCTACAAACATTCACTGAATGTTTATGTTCAGAATATGTTGTCTGAACATTCAATGCTTCCTGCATTGTCCCTACATAATTAACAATGCTCACAAGTTCTGAATTATATTTTCGGATTTCTGGGAAAAGGGCTTAATGACATAAGGAAAATACCTTGGATTTCAACCTTCTGCAAAAAAAATCTAGGTTTCACTTCAGCTGCACCTTGTACTGGTACTGAAACATTTCATGGAATTGTCGAAGAAATAACACATCCAAGAAATTTACTCAATCATTTACTTCAACACTTAGCATTCTAGTTATGTAGTCAACACTTTTTAAGGAAAATGATTGTTTGTTTAAATAAATATGTGAATATTCATCTAAGTAAAATCACAAGATTCCTAAGAATTGCTTAAGAAAGATTTGTTTAAAAATGCACTGGGCGGGGTTGTGTGATTCTGAATATTTTATTCACTCAGACACGGCCTATTAATTTAACCCAATATTCTTGTGTTGCTTTTCATGGATTTGGTTTGGAGTTTACTGTAGAAACATTGTTTAAGCATTTCTTGGTTACATTATTTTTGTTGACTCGATTAATAAGAAACAAAGTTAAAACATGACATTTCAAATAGTTTCACTCTCTGTAACTATTTCTATGTTACAATTCTATTAAAAATGATTTTCCTTCCAACCTGTTTTGTCACATCAAAGTTATGAGCTTTAAAGTATTCCATTAGAATTTTACAAGATCGACCAATCCACAGGAGTAGCTGATTTTGAAGCATAAGGAAAATTCTGCATGATTTTTACACAATATGCAATGTTAAGCTCACTTTATTTTAATACCCACTGGCAACTCGAGACCATGGTCTTTAGCTGTTAAAGGGTGGAGGGCCTTCTCTGGGTCAGGGATGGGGTCTTGTCCTACTTCTTTGTAAAATAGGGCAGAAATTTATGATTGCTTAAGTAATCAATTACTTTATCAATTATTGGACAACTAATCAATTAATCTGATTAATTTAAGATTTTTCATTGAATTATTTAAGCTTATTTTACACAATATTAAAAGTACATTGAAAGATGAAAATGAAGAAGTCCATCCATCAAATTTATGTGTGCAGCACGTCACCTACAAACAAAAATAAAAAGGCATGAAAACACCATAAAGTCAACAATTGAGAAACCAATAAAAATACATTTTGATGAGTACCATCATCAAGATCATTAATGTGTAACAGACCAGGTTACATAATCACAGGAACCTGAGGTCAGGTTTTTACTTTATTGTGGTACTAAGCCGCTAAGTGATTTATAAACTAACAATATTTTAACCCTCTTAATGTCTCTGAGCTACAGGGAGCCAGTGGGATGATTTTAGAACTGGGTGGTGTGCTCTATATTCCTGGTATTAGTGAGAACGCCATCAGCAGCGTTCTGGATCAGTTGCAGCTGGAGGGTTAGGGTTAGGGTTTTTGTTTTGGCAGACCTGAGAAGACGTTGATCCGGCAGAAACATCTGTCTTTTAATCCTGGAAATGTTCTTCAGATAACAGAAGGCTGACTTTGTATCGGTCTTTATGTAGGGCTGGGAGATGTATCGAGTATACTCGATGTATCGCGAGTTTTTCTACTTATGATTGTTAAAATGGCTATATCGCAACCATCCAGTATAAATTGTTCAAATAATAAGCTTTCGCCATCAAATTTATGGTTTATCTGACAACCTGTGAATGTATCACTAGTCCCTCGCCCCTCCCAACTTGAAAATATTCTACCAATCACACTGCGCGGAGAAAACAAACAACATGGTGACAGCGACAGTTTGGCGAGCCGTGAATGAGACGGAAACTGAAGAGGAATGAGATTAACTAGTCTAGCAACGAAGAGAAACAGCGCTGGATTAATAATTTGGTAGTAGTTCAGATTAGTTCAGACCCCACATGTTCGTCACAATTGCTCTTGGTACTCTTTTGACCCATATGCAAACACACTTAGAAGAAGGAAGCAGAATTCAGAAAAGTTTATTAAAAATTAAAGATCTGAATGTGGAGTTATGGTCAGGCGGATCAAAGTCAGGAGGATTTGGCACAAGGAGATTATTTAAAAAAAAAAAAGAAATTATTTCCTTTATTTAACTAGGTAAAATCCCAGTAAGATCCAGATCTCAAGAATTACTTGGGCAGAAATCTGCAACACACAACAACCTGGTTACATAACAGTAAAATATTTGGACAAGTTTAAAACAAATTTAAAAAACTGTTTAAAAGCAATGTCATTGATTAATAGAATCATGTTGCATGAGTTTAACAACTGCCCAAAAAAGTTCCAAAGAAATAATATCCAAAATTTTTAGTTCAGACTGGAGCTGATTAAATGCTGCAGGAGCCAACACACTGAATGCTGCCTTCACGTGGAACATGCAAAAGATAAAACAATGTTATTGGAGCATAAAGAATAGAAAGTAACAGATTGTTATAGGAGAGAATTTAAGTAGGTTGGAGCCAAGGTGAGTAGAATTTTATAAATCAGGATCAAGTGCAGAGCTGGCCCAAGCCTTCACCCTAAACNTGTGCTCTTCCGATCTAAATATGATTTTCCCCCCCCTAAATTCAAGACATAGGGGTGACCCAACTAGAGTCTAGTTGGGTCACCCCAAGATCACTAAGTCTTCTTAAGGTAAAGTCTCTGAGGTAGAGTCTCTGAGAACAGTTCTTCAAAATATAGTCAGTGTTTTCAGCAAAGTTGAGCTGACTGTCCAGGAACGACCCAAGGTATTTAAAATTTGCCAGTTTCAACAGGTTGGCCATCGAGAGAAACTGGAACCACTTTAATAAGGTCTTATTTAGATCATTTAATTAGCTCTACATTCTTAAGAGAATGAAAAATTTATAATAAAGACTTTGCGGTATTCTGATTTAGTAATGTAATTATATTAGTTGTGTTACCACCCCCACGCCACTAGAGGCAGTACCAACCCCGAATAGATGCAACTAAGGAGCAGATTTAGAAGTACACCGAAAGCTACAGAATTTGGTAAAAACTGTGATTTTTGCTGAAGTAATTAAAGACACAAGTTCAAATCCATGCTGAGAGTGGAGCTCCTTCAGTCAGTGCTCCTCCGCAGCTCTGATTGGCTCAGCAATGTAACCTGATCCTCTGCAGCAAGTGATGGCAAAGCGGGGCGTCATCACGACTTTACACAAGTGTGTCTTTACCTCCGTGGCAGAGGCTCCGCTGAACCCCGAGACTGACTCACCGAACCACTGGGGTTCGGTCGAACCCAGGTTAAGAACCACTGATCTAGAATGGCACAAAATATTTCTATTTGCATTCTTAACTCAACCAAATCATGTTTACCGCTGATCTGGAGATTTTCTGTCACCATGAGGACAAAACTCTACTTAACAAAGAGTGACTGAAGATCCCGTCCAGAACCCAAAACCAGGATAAAGAGGTTGAGTGAATTCTGTCTTGAAGGTATGGAGATGGATCGGTATTCCAGAAGAAACTCTGTAGAAGGACAGAGTGCCACCTGGATAGTCCACATACACTCCTACTTTGTGGTAGGGAGCAGAAGATGAGCAGGAGGAGATGAACTCCCTTTTGCTCTCATGGCAGACAGAATAACGACCCTCATCGGAGCAGCTCAGACTCCAGGACATCTTGTTGAATCCAAACTCACAGTCATTACTGCTTCCTTTACGCTGGACTCCTCTGTAGCTCACAGAGATCTCAACCTTCCCACTCCAAATAACCTCCCAGTAGCAGCGATCAGGAAGGCTTTCCTTGCACAGAACCTGGGGCCAGTAATCAAATCTCTCTTCATGGTCAGGGTAGGACTGGGCCTCATCCACACCAGTAACCTTCCTGTTGCCTTCAGACAGCTGGAGCTTTTTGTTCACTGCGTTTGTGTCGATGGTGAGTTGACGAGAATCTGATACAAACACAATGCAGATACAGTTATTGGTCATTTAATGACACCTTGAAGATGGCATGAATCAAATAAAAGCACACTTACACTTCTTCAGACCTGGTGTCAACCACTGGTCACCAGCAGGCTCCACTCTGAACAGAAGAGGGTTACACCATCAGTATCTTTCAGCAGCAAACATGGACATTAGGTGTTTCTCAAGCAGCTGGTAAAGTGAGTGCAGCTTTGTCTCCTCAACCAGCTATCGGTATTGCTGCAGTTAACTTTACCATACCTCAGTTTTTCTGGTTTCCAGAAAGAATCCAGTGCAGTCAGCTTATTCACCCCTTCCTCTCCTGGATGGTTGTAGCTCAAGTCCAACTCCTTCAGATGGCAGGGGTTGGAGCGCAGAGCTGAGGCCAGAGAAGCACAGCCTTCCCCTGTGATCAGACAGCCTGACAGCCTGCAGATACGCAATGAGCCATTAAACATATTTTTGTAGGAATTGCTTTTAATTATCTAAAACCAGACAATTCAATCAAAAGCAAAGACGCCTCATTCTGGAATGCCAGGAGAGCCAAAAGGGGCAAAGGAGCCCAGTTTACCATAATCATGCTGTGGACACATGACCACTTTTGTGAAACATTAAAATCATAGTTTGAAGATAATAACAGAATAACAACTTCAGTCCGAGGTTACAAAGCTAAACATCTTCCTTCTGATGACTAGATTCTGATAATTGAACTATGAATATTGCAAGATAGCCCTGGTGGAGCCAACATGAACAAGAAGCAAGTTCAATGTTGTGCCAAAAATAAAGACACGGCTCTTGTTTTAGTTACAGACAGACCAGATAAGCAATCAAAGCCACCCTTGTCCCTAAAAAATGCTGCAGAAGACATGTTCATAAGTCTTATCCAGGTTTCTAAAGCCTGCATGAACTGGAGAAATAAATACCTAGCATATTCTTCACGATCAGCCTGAAAGTCACCAAGAACTTTCCAAATCTGCTTTTTGGTTGAGGCTTCCTTTCAAACACCCTTAAACCAGATGCAAAATGTTGCTAATACAGCTACATAAGGTGCAGTCCTCCTGCCCACTTGGTACCAATCTGGTACACCAGGAGTCTCCAGATTATTTAGCTGTTGCTGCAACTGGCAACAATGTATTTCTGGGCATATAGCCTGACAGCCACATCTACATTTTGGATCTTGAACATGTGCTGTTTGAATTTTCTGTCCCTTTTATATTATATTTCCTATTATGAACAAAACATCTCAAACAAATTGAAAAACAAAATACCACTAAGATTTAGACCAGAAGAATCATTCCTCCACAAAAACCCACATGGACAGTGAAGTCCTCCAGAGCACAAAGGAATTCCTAATTTTTAAATGTAAATTACCTTATTCAATAATAACCTGCAGCTAAATTGTATGTGTTCCCTTTCATGTGCGATTAGATATGATCTCCTCAAAATTGTACTTTGAGAGACTAACACAAATACATAAGGAAAAAATGTACTAGTTCAAGGAAAGGTTACCTTAGAGTCGTTAGAGTGCATTGTTCACTTCCGAGTCCTCCACATAGAAGCGTTACTCCCATATCCGTCAGGTCATTGTTACTCAAGTCCAACTCTCTCAAATGAGAAGACTGAGAACTTAGAACTGTGGAAAGGGTCGCACATGTGCTTGGCGAAAGGTTACAGACACTTAATCTGAGAAAACACAGCAGGAGAAGGGAACTCTCAACACCTGACCTTCTCCACCAAATGCAACTCAGCAGTTTATTGTTACTGGATAAATACAAAGTGTATCATACTTACAGGGCTTTGTTGGACACTTCGAGAACTGGTAGCAACCTCGCAAAGTCCTCATCTGAACTGATAAATTTCTTCAAATCAAACAGATCCAGATCTTTTTCTGATGACAGTAAGATGAAGACCAGAGCTGACCACTGGGCAGAAGACAGCTTATCTGTGGAGAGACTTCCTGAACTCAGAGACTCTTGGACTTCTTCTACAAGGGCAAGATCATTCATTTCACTTAGGCAGTCAAAAAGATTGATGATTTTGTCAGCAGGCAACTTCTCACTCATCTTCCTCTTTATGTATTGGACTGCTTCATCAGTGGTTTCTGTACTGGGCTGTTCTCGTGTCAACAGGTCCTTCAAGAGAGTCTGATTAGTCTGGAGAGAAAGACCCAGAAAGAAGCGGAGGAACAAGTCCAGGTGGCCATTGGGACTTTTTAAGGCCATGTCTACTGCACTCTGGAAGAACTGATGTTTTTCATGTTTTCTTTTAGATTTTTGGGGAAATGTCTGATTTTCTTCAAGAAGATTGACTCCAGAGTTGATGAAGGTCAGATGAACATGAAGAGCAGCCAGAAACTCCTGAACACTCAGATGGACGAAGCAGAACACCTTGTCCTGGTACAGCCCTCTCTCCTCTCTAAAGATCTGTGTGAACACTCCTGAGTACACTGAGGCTGCTCTGATATCGATGTCACAATATTTAAGATCAGATACATAGAATATCACATTTCCTTTCTGCAGCTGATCAAAAGCCAGTTTTCCCAGAGACTCAATCATCTTCTTGTTGTCTGGACTCCAGAGTGGATCTGTTTCAGATCCTCCATCATACTTGACCTTCTTCACTTTGGTCTGAACCACCATGAAGTGGATGTACATCTCAGTCAGTGTCTTAGGCAGTTTTCCTCCCTCTCTGGTCTCCAACATATCCTCCAGAACTGTAGCAGTGATCCAGCAGAAGACTGGGATGCGGCACATGATGTGGAGGCTTCGTGATTTCTTAATGTGGGAGATGATGCTGTTAGCCTGCTCCTCACTGCTGAATCTCTTCTTGAAGTACTCCTCCTTCTGTGGGTTGGTGAACCCTCTAATCTCTGTTACCATGCCAACACACTGAGGAGGGATCTGATTGGCTGCTGCAGGTCTTGTGGTTATCCAGAGGAGAGCAGAGGGAAGCAGTTTCCCCCTGATGAGGTTTGTCAGCAGAACATCCACTGAGCTGGACTCTGTAACATCAGTCAGGATCTCCTTGTTGTTGAAGTCCAGAGGAAGTCGACTCTCATCCAGGCCATCAAAGATGAACAGAACCTGGAACTGTTCAAAGTTACTGATTCCTTTGGTTTCAGTAAAGAAGTGATGAATCAGTTCCACCAAGCTGAACCTTTTCTCTTTCAGCACATTCAGCTCTCTGAAGGTGAATGGAAATATGAACTGGATGTTCTGGTGGGCTTTGTCTTCAGCCCAGTCCAGAGTGAATTTCTGTGTTAAGACTGTTTTCCCAATGCCAGCCACTCCCATGGTCAGAACTGTTCTGATTGGCCTATCAGTGCCTGGTACGGCCTTAAAGAGGTCTTCTAGCTCTATAGCCATTTCTGGTCTGTGTGGTTTCCTGGATGCTGTTTCAATCTGTCTGACCTCATGTTCCTGGTTGACCTCTCCAGTCCCTCCCTCTGTGATGTGGAGCTCTGTGTAAATCTGACTCAAATGCATTGGTTTTCCAGCTTTAGGAACCCCTTCAAAGATCTGCTGAAGTGTGTTCTTCATGTTTGCCTTAAGATTACTTTGGCAGGTGACAGGAGAACCTAAAATAATAATAAAAAAGTAGCAGTTAAAATCACTAGTACCTCTTCTCTCGTGCGTGTAATAATCAACACACTTCTATCAACTCTTTGGTTCAACAGAAAATAGCCAAGGCAAAGATATTTGTGTACCGTCTTGATTCTTGGTGGTTAGGTTTCAGGATTCATCCATCTCTGTGTATTTAGATTGTTTACTTGCTTTTCCTCACAACTGCACCCAGTTTCTAATCAACCAGCTACTCATTGTCTTCAATCACCTCTCTTGCATAAATCTCTCTCAGTCAGTCAGCTCTTGGTCAGAGTAGGTAAGAGGTAAAACTATTAAAATCATTAATTTTGTTCTCGTTCATCCTTGGCCAGTTTGCAACACAACCAGTCTGATAGTAGACCAGAACTTTATAGTAGTGTAACTGAGTTGTAAGAAAGAAGTATTTTTGTTTCTACATGTGATTAATGAGGTAAGGGTAAAAAAGAGTGTTAACCAAAGCAACATGGATATCAAGCAGCTTAAAATATTTTGGAGTGGTTACAATATGGTCAAATAGCTGCAACTGGAAATATGGTGAAGTTTTAATGAATCTTATGGAGATAAAGAAATAGATATGCATCACCAATTCTTTCAGCTTTATAATTACATACAATTATCTGTCCATAGCAATCATGTTGAAAATCATTCAGATGTTTAAACCTAATAAATATTTACTGTTCCCAGAAAGAAATCCATCTAAGAAGATCAACATCACTGTACATGTTGAAGAAGCTAAGGATTGAAGTTAAAGCCGTATTGTTAGAAGTCCATTCATGATGCACCTATTGGATAGAAATGATTGTTCAGAGTGAAATGATCACTTACTGTTGAGCAGGCGTGTAGCCAGATCCTCCTGATTCAACTTCTTCAGGAAGCTCACAGTGATGTGAAGTAAGTGCTCTCTGTTCTTCCTCCTGTGCTCCTCATCCTCACCCTCCATCTGACTCTCTAAACACTGTGAGCCAAATGGACTCAGATATGTTTTAAACATGTTTAACTGTTCCTTTATATAAGGGAACATGTTTTGTTCCACCTCCTGAAAAGCAACACAAGATGAAGGACGTCAGACTGGATCAGAACATCAGATGGACAGACTGAAGGTTCTCTGGTCTACAAAGACTGAACAGAACCAAAGTACAGACCATAAATGTGGAGTCCAGCTGGGTTTGAAGCTGCTGGGCAGTCGGACTAGTGGGAACCTCTGAGCTCTGCTGGTCCACTCTGTGGAGGAACCAGGAGCAATTAGCAGATATTGTGTTTTTCTAAAATGATACAAACGCTGATTAATTACATACTTTACTTTCTGTATGGAAGAATATTTACTGAAAGTTTTTCTTATCTTTATCTCAGCTCTGGTTAAGGTTGTCCTAGTTAAAGCCTCCTTTCCCTTCCCTATATCTGTCCAGCTGCAGCTGACTGGTTATACTTGGTAGCTCCCAGTAAAACTGTCTTTAACTCACATAACTGAATAATCTCATATCTATATTTTACTTTGTGCTTTATGGACAAATTCTGCATTTCAAATTTCCAACTTTTCCAGACATAGTAAATTTATCTGGCAGTTTTTTGTTTTTTTACAACATTTTTTAAATTTGAGCAGAAAACATATGTGAGGGAGTCTTACCATCTACACAATCAACATATTAAAAACAAAATGCTAAAGATGAGTTTTCTGTTTTATTTGGACAAACAGTAATATTTCAAAAGAAAATGGAATAGAAGAATCAGAATAGATTTTTACAAATTATCTAAAGCTGAGAAATACCCTGCATGATCTACTGTACTTATCCATTTTTCCCATTTTTAGTCCTGAATTTGTCAAACGCTGCAAATAGGGCTGAGTGACACGGAACTATTTTTAAATAAATCCATAACTGCTGTGAGGAGACGCTGCAGCTACTGGGAATAAAAAAAACACAAGAACTATCCATAGAAGGGTAAAGAATGGCTTTTATGGTAAATGTTATTCTGAAACTGTAAAACTTTTGTGGTAGAAATAAAATGCTGTTCTAAAAGTTGAAACTTCGACATGTTCAAGTCCTTTATGGTTTGATATTCTCCTGAATTAAAATAAAACAACCTTAGATGATTAGAGACAACTCACCCCTTAAAATCAATGAGCCGACCCCTTGATGAGTCACTGTGTAGGGATCCAGGTTCTGGTTCTGGTCCATGTTGCTTCCTGTGAAAACATGTGGCTTGATGATGTGAGGACAGCAGGAGATGTTTGCCAGATGAGTCAGAAAGATTTAAGCAGCAACACTGATCCCTCTTTGCTTCACAGCAATGTTTCAACTTTGACTAGGCCACTTCATAGCCTTCATTTTGTTTGTCTTTCTAAGCCAATCATATGGTGGTGTTCTCCATCAGGTCACCTTCAGGATTTCCTGCTGGAGAGACTCATGGTTCCTCCAGCTGTAAAGCATTCCAGACCATCATACTACCACCACCATGCTTAACTCTTGGAATTATGTTCTTGTTCTATTTCGTCTCGCCGAGCTTTTTTTCACAGAATGCATGTAGCACATAGGTTGGTGATACAATGATAGATGTAAACGACAAAACCAAGCTAACAAGGGGTTATTAGCAGCTAACTAGCAGTAGCAACAAGCACCTCAAGTCACCAAACACAATGAAGATGTCTGTGTGCTACTCAAACTTGCCTGATAGTAAAACCCCATGAGAATAAAATAATAAACATAGAAAATATGAGATTAAATAGTCCTGCCATGACAGAATTTAATTCCTGTGATTAACATATTTAAGGCCAAATTATATTTTTTATGAATATAGGACATTTTAAGGCCTTAATTTTAAGTAGCGGTGGGCATTTATTGTATCGTTCATCATTTATGTGATAAATTTCTTAATATGATTAAATATGATTATTCTGAATTATGATATTTAAAACCACCAGCACTGTAGATGTTATTGTTAATTTGCTTTATTCTCCTCTTTTTGTTCAATTAAAGTATCAATAAAAATGAATTAATTAAAAAATATGATTAAATGAAGTTACTGTGTGCAGTTTATTGGTACAAATAACACTTCTTTATGGTGTTGGTGTCCTGAAGAAGTGTTTTATAAATGGAAATGTTTTTCAAGAGTAGTGTTTGTGCTTGTGGGGCTATAATTGCTGTGACACACAGTTGCAGCCATACTGTCATCTAAAAGAGAAATAATACCATAAAATATCGTTATAAAACTTTATGTTCATATTTTATATACATTGATTTAAGGTTATTTTAAGGATGCAGACATCCTGATTGAATTTCTTTAAAGCTTGCTTTTTGGGTTCTGTTAGCCTACTTCCTGTTGTCAGGAAAGTTCTTGTTGCTCAGCTTTTACCACTTCAGGTAAAACATCAGATGATTAAACATTTTTCTAAACAGAGATTTTTACTTTAATGGTTTTAAACTTGATCACATTTGACTGTACTAACATCTAGAGACAGCTCACCTCTTTCTAGGAGGCTGGCTTTGTTTAAAATCAATGAGCCGACCCTTCGACTTGTCACTGCACATGGACTCGCAGCTCGGTCCAGATCCAGTCTCTGGTTCTGGTTCTGGTTGTTTCCTGGGAATAAAAATGGTTTGTGATGAGAGTGCTGAGCTCTGACATGGAGAAGACTCAGACGGTGACCTCACCTCTTAGAGGGACGGACTGCGGCCCCTCCGTCCTCAACCTGATCCATCCTGCTCAGCTCACACACCGTCTACCTTC